GTTGGGAAATCCCCGGAAAAAAAATTATCACCGTTAGTGTTACCACATTTAACGGTGGAGACTGTAATGGTTGGCAACTGTTTGGCGACTTTTTAAGGCGCACTTGGCGCATTTTGTCATCCCGTCGGAGGGATGCGAGAGAGAGAAAGGTAGATGTATGTTTGATATAATCGGGAGAGGGTCTCCCTTGGTATTCTAAGAGCTGGAAGCTCTTACTGGAAAACAATGCCTATTTCTTTTGTTTTTAAATAAAGTTAAGTTTTATTGTTTTAAAAATCTGGTCTGCTTATTTATTGGAAAGGAAAGGCATTACAGAGACCATGAACGATCTCCTGCCCGCGGACCTGAATTAATGTACCTACTGCAGGTGACTTGCATTTTTTCACGATATTTCGCGTTATACAATGAGCTGTAGCCGAAATCTATAGATTTGACACGATTTATTGACTTAACGGACATCAATATGAGTGGTAAAATCAAATAAAATTGAACCACTATATTGACCAGTACAAAAAAGTTTATTGACATTAGCTTACTTACTCCTGATACAGCATTAATTTTTTAACCGTTCTCGAAAAAAAAATCTTAACTCGAATTCACAATAAAACGCACATCGATGAATAATAAAAGGCACATATCACTATCCGTCAAATTGACAACACTGCCAACCTACAGAAAGAATTTAGGGGAATTCCCTAGGCATAACTTTTGAATTTCTCTCAACTGAGTTGTCATGATTAAAGTGGGGTTTGCAACCTGTCATATTTATTTTGAAAAATGGGGGAAATTTCCAAAAGTTCAGTTCGATCGAGGTTTCTGGTAAGGATTCGAGGGCCCCCTGAGCTTGAGGGCTCCGGGGCACTGCCCCGCCTAGCCCCTAGGTAGCTAAGCCACTGGCCACATGCACACATTCTGATTTGACTTATTGAAAAAATCACAGCATGCCAAATTGATCACATCATATCAGCAGAAATACCTGATGTCGCAATTGATCCAGACTTATTTCAGGTCATTATCCAAAATATGATTCATGGTCCGTGTAAATCACTCAACAACACTTCACCCTGCATGTCCAATGGAAAATGAACCAAACGACATCCAAGAGAACTATCTGCTGAGACTATCACTGGCAATGACAGCTATCCGCTTTATCGACGACGATCTAAAGAAGATGGCGGAAGATCAATCATTTTAAAAATCCGGAACAATGATGTTGAAGTCGATAATCGTGGATTGTACCCTATTCACCGTTGCTCTCGAAAACGTAGAAAGCACACATCAATGTCGAAAATTGTAATTCGGTAGAAGCGATCAAATATATTTGTGAATATGTAAATAAAGGAAGCGATATGGCAGTTTTTGGATTGGAAAATGCTACTTCAACAATCGATGAAATCAATCAATATCAACTGGGATGCTACATTAGTAGCAATGAAGCTGTCTGGCGCATTTTATCATTTCCAATTCATGACCGACGTCCAACATTTCTTCATTTGGCAGTACACCTTGAAAATGGACAGCGAGTTTACTTTACAACAGGAAATGCCAGTTCAAGAGCATTGCCACAAACAACGTTAACGGCATTTTTCTCATCGTGCAGGGATGACGCATTTTCAAAGACGCTTCTCTACTGTGAGGTGCCAACATACTACACATGGAGTATTTCGGCGAAACATTTTCAACGTAGAAAACAAGGTAAACCAGTTGAAGGACATCCCAATTTATATTCCACTGACACATTAGGTCGTCTCTACACCTTCTGTCTACGACTTCTGTAAGATTATTTCAACCATACATAAACTTTTTCATAACGTTTTTCCAAATATCGCTCAAAATTACAAAGATCTTCAGTGGCTCAGTGAACGCGCTATATTAGCAGCAAAAAATAGCGATGTACAGGACATCAATAATCACCTTCTAAATGAAATTCCAGGTTATGCAAGAGCATATAAATCCATCGATACTGTGATAGATCAAAACGAGGTTGCAAACTACCCAACCGAATTTCTGAATTCACTTGATTTGCCAGGTATGCCGTCGCACGTTTTAACATTGAAAACTGGAGTATCTATCATTCTCCTCCGAAACATCGACCCACCCAGACTTTGTGACGGTACGCGTCTTTCAGTGAAAAGAATAATGACCAATATCCTCGAAGCTAAAATTCTAAATGGCAAATTTAAAGGAGAAGATGTTCTACTACCGCTTATTCCAATGACCCCCACAGATATGCCATTTGAATTTAAACGTTTGCAGTTTCCGGTGCGACTTTCTTTTGCCTTGACCATCAACAAAGCCCGAGGACAGTCACTACAAGTATGTGGTCTGAATTTGAAAAATCCCTGCTTCTCCCACGGACAGCTTTATGTGGCCTGCTCACGTTTTAGTTTTTTCGCGTACTCTCCAAACGGTAAAACAAAAAACATTGTTTATTCAAAAGCACTTGAATAAATCTGATAATAACGAATCGGAAAATTTCTAAATGCTTTTCAACAATTAAATACATCTCTGACCGTAATTAAGTACAAAATCTGAAATATATGAGCAACAGCAAGCAAAACTGGTCATACATCGACTGCACACCTCTCAAGCCCATTCGTCTGAAATATCTGACCAACGGCAAGTAAGACAGGTTACAGTTTTAAAATGCATTGCTCAAAACCCGTTTTTCTGAAACATCAAAACAATGGGAAGTAAGAATAGAAAACTCACTTCTCTATTCAAACGCCGCCAATATGCTGGTTTAAATCTTAGTGTGATTCACTATGATCCAATTACTAATTATAGTCTGTATCCAAGTTATAAGAAAAATGAATCATTTATGTGTGTTTTGTAGTGCTCTCAAATTTAAGAATGAAACAGTTGGAATTTGCTGTTCTGGTGGAAAAATGAAACTACCAGATTTAACGTCGCCAACCGAGTCATTATCAACATTGTTATCGGGTCCCGCAAGTCAATTGAAACTTTTCTTGGCTAATCTATGTCGGTGCAATTCGTATTTCCAAATGACTTCATTCGGTGCTACAAGTATCGGTATGCATATGGACAGCCAGAGTTGTTTATTACATTCACGTGCAATCCTGTTTGGACTGAAATTAAAGAGTTTTTGTAACCTAGGCAAATATCATCGGATCTTCATGATATTACCGCACATGAGTTAAAACAAAAATTAAGCTCTATACTTGATTTCATTGTGAAGCGTCATGTTTTTGGAATGATGCGGTGTCTGATGTGTTCTATTGAATTGCAAAAAAGAGAATTGCCACATGATTTGGCTTATTGAAAAAATCACACCATGCCAAATTGGTCAGCTAATATCAGCAGAAATACCTGATATCGCCATTGATACAGACTTATTTCAGATCATCGTCAGTGTGCATCGCCATACATGTCTATTTGAAAATGCACAAATGATATCTTAGAGAATTAACTGCTGAAACTATAACTGGTTTTTTCACTACTGAATAAAATTCTCATTTTAAATCACAATCGCAAATCTCATTTAGACGTGTTTAAATATAAAATTACAATTCAAACTGAAAGCTTTGCAACGCACGCAGGGTGCATCTAGTATAGTATAAAAATATCCGTAGTATTTTAATAGATTAATTGTGGTCCATTACGAGCTTCCATTCGTGTTGATGGAAAGATTTCATCACGAACTGAAATTTGCAGCTGTGAAATGTTTATTTATTTTCGCTATCTTCACAGAGAAAATAAAAATATAATTGTGTTTTTGTAAATTTATCTTTTTAAAAAGCAATCGCGATTAGATAATTCTTAAAGATTCCATTAAAAGGGCCACCAAATTACGTCAAGCTTTCCTCAGTGGCTAGTTGATATTATTAAAATGCATAAATAAAATTCCATTGGCTAAAATTCCATTGGTCCACTGAAAAAGTAACGTTTTTAAATTATATGTGTCGCACTATCTAATGCCGGTTTCTTTCTTAGGAATCCTTAAACTGTCTCTTAAATTTCTTTCAGAAATATTTTTGATAACTCAAAAATATGTAATAAAAAGTTAAATCTATAAGCAAAGTTTTCAAATTTAAGTTTCTTAGTTTCAATAAACATATAAAAATGTTTTTTTTTATTCAGAAAAACCTATTTTCATTAAGTTTTTGAATGGACTTTTTGAACTTTTGTCGGTGAAAAGCAAAGAGCTCGTGATAATGATGTTATAAGTCCTTAATTAATAATTTTGAACTAATGAGGATATATTTTTTTTAATTTCATTATATTGATTGAATTATTAATTGTGATTGCTTAACCACACAAGTATACATTTTTTGATCTTAATTAAAAATTAAAACAGCATGGACTCCAATAATAGGTTTAGAATTTTAAAGAGCCAGAGAGAGAAACTAGCCATTTGGGAAGAATCTTGACCATGGAAGAGTCATTAAAGCTGAATCCTAATAAAACCTGTTGTTTTCATGAAGTTATGAGGGATATTCGTGTTAATTTCAAATGGTATAAAAAAGGGAAATTGAGAAGTCAACAAATTTTATAAGTATTCTAAAGTTCAATGCAATGGCAAATGTAAGAAGTGCACTTAGTATATTCAAACAAGGATTACATTTTTTCATTGCGCTGAGGGGAATAAATCACCTATTGTTTTCATGAATGTTAAATTGAGAAATTGGTATTTTTATTTTACTATAGCTTCTGTTACGTTAAAGAAGCACTGCAAATTCTTGTTATCGTATTTGAAAGAATGGAATACGATGGATTTATTTGAAATACTTGGGTCTACATTATTAGGATATATCTCCATAACATTGCTTTTAAAATAAATGATTTTAAACGAAATTAATGGTTGGTTAATTAAGAACCAGCACATTATAAAGAGAAAAAAGAAGCTCAAAAATGAGACAAAATCCATTCACCTTATTCTCTGCACTTCAGCTCTTTCAATCTGTTTTTTTCTAACCATTTTTATTAAATATATTTTTCTTCCATATGCCCACATGAAATATTGGGTAAATATATTTCAGATTAATGGCAAATTAGACATTATGAATGACGTTGCACTGATGAAGCTAAATGCACCGGTAACATTTACAAATTACGTAAGACCTGCTTGCTTACCTGCATCAGGATTTGATGTTCCTGCAGATACGAAATGCTATGTGACCGGATGGGGTCAGACTAGGGGTAAGTTTCTTCTTCACTCAAGTGGGTTGCGTAAAAATCTAATATCAATGGATAAATTAAAGAATCTTCTCAATGAAGAGATTTCATGGACAGTGAATTTTTGTCGATTTTCCTCAAAGCATGGTTTCTCTCTTATAGTGTATTTCTGTAGAATGTGAAGCCTTTAAAGTTCGAAATTTCATCATGTAACACACCAAACTTTAAATAATCTCATGCAATTTCACAAAGTTAATAATAATGAAACAGCAGTTTAATAACGATTAGAAACAATTTTTATGAAGTAAAACGAAAGAACTTTTTTGAAAAACTTTACCTTTCCCAAAGAAACATTTGTGAAAGGCATTGTGTAATATGAGCAAAATAATTTTTCAAAATTTATAATTACATTAAACTAATGAAATAAACTAAAGACTAAAGACAGAACTAAAATTCACTTAGAATCATAGTAAAAAAACTCTAAATAGTAAAATAAAAAGCTAATGAAGAATAAGATTGTTTTAATGGATGTTTAACTATAGCTTAACTACAAATTAATTATACCTCGATGTTATTTATTTCATTATTTCGGAATACTTAGTGAATTTTTTATGTATTGCATATTCGAAGAAATTACTTATTTTTCAAACTCTAGCAATTAATTTTGTCTTAATTTTTAACGGGGGATAGAAAGGAACGAAATAAGTATTTTTGCCATCAAACCAGGAAATGATGCATTAAAGTGTTGTAAATGACGCATGAGGAGAAAAAAAGTATGACCATAACTACCAGAATATGGAAAAAATTTACCGTATTTTCGGTTCCATGGGGAAACCAAAATGCAAAAAATTTTAACAAAGTGCTTCGGTTTCTCACTTTTAGTAAATTAACAATGAAATATTGTTTTATGATGTGTGTTAAAATTTGCTTTGTTATGAGACTCTGTTATGATATTTCAGAGCATGGCATAAAAACTATTTATATGGTTGCATTTACTTTTCAGTTTGTATATATATATACTTACTTAATAACGAACAATACGGGGCTTCAGGAGGGGAACTGAAGATGCTTTAAGAAATGTGGTGAAACACAAGATGCAAAAAAAGAGGGTCAACACACCCTGAGGGTCGCCATAGACATCAAGAATGCTTTTAACTCCCCCAGTTGGAGTTTTCTCAAAAATAAGATCAACTGTCTGAGGCTCGACGACTCGTAGCGTTAATTCTTGAACAACTGTCGTATTTGTTATTGCTTTACTGGTTCTACCCTTTTAATTCCTGCAAATATTGGGGTTCCTCAAGGCTCTTTCTTGGGACCCATACTGTGGTTAATTTTAATTAATTCTCTTTTAGATAATCTTAATTTTCTGTTTTATATAGAGAGTCGACAAATTGGGGACAGAAATTAATGAGGCCTTGACCGTCTGGGCAAGGGATCTCAAACTCAAATTCGCACCAGATAAAACTAGGACTTTTACTTTCCCCAAAGACTCCAAGATCACTGAAAGACTAACACGCATCAAGATAGTTAATACTCCGACGGCACATACTTAGGGGTCTTCCTGGATCATAGGCTGAGCTGGACTCCACATCAGATTGACCTCATCTCCGAAATTACTATCTTCTATAATAAATTGAAACAGTACAGCAGAGCTACCTGGAGACTGAGCCCGAGCATACTGAAATTAATTTATACCCATGCCATAGAATGGCAAAATTATTTACGGAGCCTCCATTTGGTATCTTAAATTAATAATAAATTAAACTTGTGAAAATGAATAATAAATTAAACTTTATTCGAAGAATCCCATTATTGAATGTCAGAAAGTGTTACTCAAAAACCAGTACGGAGGCACTACATATACTCTCTAGTATTATGCCCATTGACCTCAAAATTCGAGAATCAACAGTTATTAAAAAGCATATACCTGTAATACGAACCAATCATCTATCTTCAATGCCGCATATCAAATAAGTGATCTCAATGAATGTAAACCAAACTGAGTCCAAAGATACAACTCAAAACAATTTAAAATGATCCCAAGGGTTCACCTAGCGGAACAGACTATGACATTTGCACTGACGGAAGTAAATGAGTCACACATAACGCAACCACAGGAGATACTGAGTGCAGGGTCGGAAGTGGATTCCTGGTGAAATTTAATAACTGCACCATCTACCATAAATCGACAAGGCTCAATGATGACGCAAGTGTCTACCCTGCTGAACTGACTGCATTAAAAATGACTACTATCTAGGCCAACGAACATAACAACACCATATTTACCAATCCTCGTTGCACTCCCTCGAAAATCCAATACCCAAAAATTTTCTCGTCGAAGAGAACTATAGATATATAACTGAATTAAGGTAGGCAACGAGGAAGCTCATATTCTTGCTCAGTCGGGTGGACACTCAGATTAACTATTGACTCAGAGCGTTATGGCAGGCGGGATGGTTCATTAAATGGGACATACAAGTTTTACCCTAAAATCAATGAAAAACTGCTTAGTAGTGATTTCTATCTAAACCAATTTTACACTGGCCACTTCGGCGAACTTCAATCATGAATTTTTCAAAAGAACTGCAAGCTGTAAATACTATGACAAATTACAGACTATCACACATCTCATTACTGAATGCGATACATCCTTATCACTCCGTGGCAATCGTTTTAACAAAGGGGGACCCATGGAGTCTTGGTGCAAAACAAGATACTTTCTATTAATGCAATCATTAAAAGAACTCTTGAAGATATCATAGCACCCGAGGACTTCTTGGACCCCCTATTTACTAATGCATAGTCATTTTCATTTCCTAGCTGCGCATCTCGCCTGTATTTTGATTTTAATGTTTACACAATTATTTTAATTACTATGTTAGCCATTTTATCTAACTGTTTTATCTAACCTACGACGGTTTTAACTTATTTTACCACCTTTCCTTTGACTTTTTAGTGTCACTGTTGACTTTTTAGTTATATTCTACTTACTATTTAAAATTTTTAGTGAAACTCTGTTTTTCTTAATTTATTGAATTTTCGACATCAGTATCTTACTCTTAACGATTTTGAGGATTTTACTTATTTACTTCTCGGCCTTTGCCTTTTAGTTATTTCTCTATCTTTACGGTTTAACCTATTTATCTCTCGGCCATTGCCACTTAGTTTTATCTCTATTTTACACTCAAAATTTTAGTATTTAATATGATTCTTACACTGCTTTGTCCATTTTAAATGTGATTTTATTTTTAATTGTTTTACTGTTTTAGAATTTTGTTGCTCTGCAGTGACTTTTTGTGTCTATTTGTAAATTTACTGGTCAGCAGGGGCTTTGTGTGACAGTACCCGTTGGATCAGTTTCATTCCACGATTGCTTATATTCAGCATATATCCTAACTTAAGCATAGCACCTTTTTTTTAACCTTCCGTTAGTCGCGCACTTGTTTCCGACATGGTTAATCGCGTTGCACCTGTGAGGTGTTTCTGATTTTTTGAAAGCCAAATGAAATTTAGTCTAGTTTAAATAGTTAATTGTTACCAATTTAAGATTCTTTAGAGAGATAAATATCAAAAAACTTATTTACCGAAGTACTGAAGATAAATTTTTCTTGCTCCCGCGTCGGATCTCTTCCTCCATCACAAGATGTTCAACTAATTAACGCAAGAAGGTTCTGTGGTTTTTTACTCCGTAACCATTTTCTGTGTATATAACTTGACCATTTATACCTGCTACGTTGAGTAGGACTGAAAATGAGATAAAATATATATTTTTAATTCATAAAAATATTATATCCATAATGCTTGCGTCAATGGTCGCGCTGCACCAGAGGGGTGATTTGAGCGGTTCCAACTCTCCATCGACATGCTCTAAGGTCGGTTTTACACGGACATTTGAGTAATCCAAAGTTAGGAACATAACATTAGGCTCGACCCCCGGAAAAATCTTTTGACGGCAAAGGAGGTGGAAATGCAGTAGGGATGCACCTGTGAGGTGCGCGCGACTAACGGAAGGTTAATGGATTTTTTACTATTATGACCTTTTGCAAATTTCAATGTTATTGATGTATTGATTTCATTGTTTTATAACCTTGCTCTCTGTTTTGTTTATTTGTGAATTTTACTGTGAACTGGGGCTTTGTAAGACTTGTCTTGTCTTGTTGGTTGGCCGGGGTGCCTGAGGCCGGAACGGCCCTTTACCCCTTCATCGTGAGATGAGTTCCTGGAGGTGTTTCCTTCTGGTGCTGTAAATCTAAAATTGAAAGATTGTAAGACTGTGTCTAAGTAATCATATTTATACCACAGATGTTAATTAATGTTCCGCATAATTTTGTTCGCGATCTCATTCTCGTCTCAATATAAGGGAAGATCCCATCGACACTTGCACTATAAAGTGGATTTCCAAGAGCAAACTACTTTATTTCACTTTCATTATTTCCCTTTTCCTCGGTTGAAATAAAATGTAAACTGTATTTTTACAGGTTGATTTTAATAAATGCTACGGGTGTGGCCTAGCCGGTTGGTTGGCCGGGTGCATGTGCTGGTGTTCGGATCGTGGTCCTCTGGGGACGGCTGACGCGGCAGCGGGTTGATATACATAAGTTCAAAATGTAGAGAAAACATGGTTTAGTTGGGTATACATTGGTTTTTTTTTTTTTTTTTAATCAAATTTTGAATTAGTTTATCTATTTGTTTTTTGGATAAATAAATATTACTACATATTCTTTTAATTCTATTTATTTCATTAAAAGTTACATTTAAATAGATGCTCCTAGAAACATTAGAATTCCAAGTAATTAGTTTTTTGTATTAAAATTAAAATCATTTCTTTTATAGTATAAATCAACAAAGCAGATATTTTCTTCTTTTATAATACTCGTACCCAAATAAAAAAAAATGAAATTAATATTATCATCATGATTACGAAGCAAGATTAATTCCTCGGGGTAAATATTATTTAATAAAATCGTATAATCTTGAAAATTAAAGATAATTAAATCATCAGTAAATCTAAAAACAAATTTAATATTAAGTGTATAACTTTTTTTATAATAATGCAAAAATAGGTTAGCTAAGAGAGATGAATAATTAGATCCTTGTGGTTTTCCATCAATTTGAAGAAAAACATCCTTTCCATTGTAAAGATAATTATTGAAAGGACAAAAATTAATTAGAATTTTCCAATAATCAAAATCGCAACAAAAGATATTTTTAAATGTATAGTAATAATTCAAAAGGACTTCTTTTAGTTTAGAAAGGGGAATGCTACTGAAAAGATCCTGGAAATCAAAGGTCGCAATAGAATTAATTTCATTATATTTAATAAATTCTAAAATCGGTTGATTATTAGTGATAATCCAAGAAAAACCTTCTTTAATAATATTGTTAATAATTTTATTTAAGTAGTCAGAGAAAATGGTGACAAGTTTAGTAAGGTAAGAATTAGATCCACATGTGATTGTTCTAAATTTTATAGGAATGTTATGAAATTTAGGACTGATAATTAAGTAAGGAAATTGGACATTGCTAATTTTAATTTTTAACTTCTTATATAAAGCTAAATTTTTTTTAATGACAATATTATTATTTAAATTACTAAGTTTAAAATTTTTACTATTTTTTAATTCCGTATTGAAAAGTTCAACGTAGAATTTTTTTTACAGATGATTGGATAATTATTGTTAGCTTTGTTTATGGGAGTAATTACAAAATTTTCTTGTAGTTGCTTAATTGATTGAACTGTTTTAGAAAAATTTGTTGAATTGTTACTGTTATTTAAATTATCCTTATTATTGTTTTAAAGTAATAATTCATTCCATCCCATTTCCATTCTGTTAGCATACCTAAAGGTAAAGAGAATCTATTTGATATCTTTAGACAAAAACTATTGAGATCATTAAGAAAGTATTTTAGAATTTTATTAATTAATATATGGTAAATGGGTCTAAATTTTGTGCCTTTTATCACTAAATTCCTAAGTTTTCTATAAGATTTAAATTACCAGTTATAATATGTTATGTTTATCAACAAAATCATAATATTTCTCCTGCTCACAGTGACATTCATAATCAGAAACATTAATCCTCCCTGAATATTTGCTTATATCATTATAATTAAATATAGTTCTACCAAGAGATTTATTATATTTAAAGCTTTCAATTATGTTAAAATCCTTGAATGTAAATAAAGTTTTAAGATTTTCAAAAATATTATGAAATTTGATCTTATCGAAAATAGGATTTTGAAAGTTAATAACGAGATATAAATCATCTAAATTTTTCTTTTTATTTGGAGAAATTTTACTCATTTTGGTTTTTACAAGATCGAAACAAAGAATTTTTAAGTGTAAATTAATAAAAGAAAAGTTAATCATAAAATATTTAAGCTTATATTCATCATTATTCTTAAGGGAGAAAACAAAATATTTAATTGGTTTAATATTATAATGTTTATTCAAATCTCTTTCCATATTAGTCATGTCACTTGGACGTAAATGCGGTACTTGCGCACTAAAACTCAGTTTTTCAACTTTATCACGTGCTGGGTGCAAGTAAACTACCTTTACATCTGGAGTATCCCCAAGAGAATTTGAGCTCTCTGATTGGATTTCTCGGTATTGCCTTGTGTTAAATCTTTTAGTAGCTCCTCCTCAAGATCATTTCTCCGTAGTTTGTTCACGAAATGTAAATCAATCATAAATCAGTTCCACTATATTTATCATACTAATTTTAAGCCAAAATTGAAGTTTTGCACAAAATATAAAATCGTGTCATCAAGAGTATGTTGAATTCCAAATTTAGAACATTGCTTCTAATATTTGATGAAATAGTTTCTACTTCTTTTTTAAATGAAGAATGCATTTTCTCAGGCGAAAAACTGTCATTTCAAGGTTGAAAAACAAAAGCTGGGTTCATATATCGCTCAATGCTGAAAATAAGAAGCATAGCAGAGTGAAATAACCATACGTCGCAGAAGGCGTTGCCGAGAAATCCAATCAGCGTGCTCAAAATCTCTTGGGGATACTATAGATGTAAAGAGAGTTTAAATGCGTTCGGGGTACGCTCCTCAGCCATCAATTTACGTACCAAATTCAGCTCTCGTTCGACTGGTCTAAAGATTTGATAGTTGTTTGCTTACCTTGTACACCTTCTGTTTCCTGCCTCAGTCCAACAATTCATGAGAATATCTGCAAGTTATGCATTTGTAAAGCGATGCGTGACATTCCATATTGATAACATCGACCGCCATGAAACCTACGTTATTGACTGCCACTTTAATGCATCACTTTCGGACACACGTTCTATCACAAAAAACTTTATAAGCTTTATACAAAAAAACATTTATTTTATTTCCTCCCGTAAGACTTTTACACATATTATTTGAACACTCTGTACGTTAAATAACTACTTATATATATAAAAAAAATTCAGTCAGAAATGCAAACAAAACTTTATTTCAAGTTCAGTCGTATATCGGAAACAAAATCTGTTCAATGTCTACAGATTAAGTGAATTTTAAATGTGTAAACGATTAACTTACATAGCTTACACAACTTATAACTTATCATTCGCTATACTGAGTACTTATTTTAAGCATTATTAATTTATTTTTAGAAGTTATATTGAATTTAACTCTTGTATCCTCTAAATGTAAATTTCAGTAATCATTAAATTTTTTTAATTTATTTAAGAAGTCTTGCTTTTTTTAAAGCGGGAGTGGTGGGTAACAGAAATGAATACTCACTTGGTACAAACAAATATGTATAACCACTTTCTTAGGATAAGAATTTTTCATACATAGACCCCTTTCTGCGCCTAAGCATAAATGGGTTAAGAAATCGTAAGGGTCACCTTTGATGCCACCACTCTTTTGGTTGTTCACCTTAATGTTACATTTTGTATTGCTGCGCAAAATCTATAAGACTTAAAAACTTGAAAATACGATGATGAGTAGAAAAAAGTGCGCAGTTTGATAATAAAAATAAAAATAATAACGTTCAATATTTGGTTCAAAACTTATTAACTGTTAAAATTGTAGGAAAAAGCATCACGCGGACCGCGCTACGGGCCACACAAAGGCTAAAACATTGTTAAAATTTGGCATCCTGAAAGAGACATACTATTTGTTTATAATTAGTTGGAAAATTATTGTTATTTTAAGTGCTTTTTTTAAGAATTTTAGTTCACTTTTCTTTTGTCTTACGTTCCTTTTTTTATTTTTTTGCTTTTAAAAACTTAAGACATTTAGAACCTTGGAAATATGAAGCTGTGTAAAAGTGTATAAGATATTTGAAGAAATCGAAAAAAAATTAAGATTCAGTTAATAGTTTGAGAATTACCAAGTGTTATACTTGAAATATAAAATAACTATATTAGCCGATCTACTGCCCGCTGAAATGCAACTATAGAGTAAAAATTTGAAGTGCTGATAAGGTCATTTTTATTTATAAACATAATGCAAACTTTTTTTCCTCTACTTGTTCGAAAGTTTTTGCAAATTTAAGTATTTTCTTGGATTTTTGTTTCAATTTTTCTCCTTTAAATAATGATTATTAATTCACTGTTTTCGAAAGAACTCTCTCTTTCGAGATCATCAATTTATTAAGCTCGCTCTTAAGTAGATGTCAAAAGGAACAACAAAAAAAAACAGATAAATAAAATGTAAGTAAGAGAAACTGATCTGATGAATCATAACATTTACCTATATCGAAATTTTATAAAACTATAAATGGCTCAACAGAGATTTAAAAAAAACTTATGCAATTTGATTTGTTATACAATTCAAGGTTATCGTTATATATTTTTAATAAGAAAAATTACTTCTTATTAAATCACAGATTCTATATTTCAAAGTATGTATGCATTTCTTTTTCAAGTTACATTTCGTTATTTTTCAAATCCAAGTTATCATATATTTTGTAACGATTAACATATTAACAAAATGTTTTTACATAAAATAAATAAATATTTACATATTTTTTACACAAAATTATTTTTTTTAAAAAAAAAAAAACACCGAATTTCTTAGAGAAAGTAAGGAGAAATAATTGGGGAGCGGATTGAGCGAACATCGATAAATCTAGTGTTTTATAGACATCTTAATATTTTTACAGTATCGCTGATGCGTTAACTATAATTATGAAATATATATTGATTTAAATTGCAGGTACTGGATTCAATCATGTCTTGAAGCAGACATATGTTTCAGTACTCTCAAGATATGACTGCGGCTACGATGAGAAGAGCCAGATATGCGTGAAAAATAAAGAGATGAAATCTTCAACTTGCCATGTAGGTCTGCACTTCACAACATAAGCGATAAATGTATAACTATGCTCTATGATTCTTCACGTGCTATCAGACACCTACATCAAAAGGGCGGTATATTCTCTGTGTTTCAAGGATTATAGCAATTCAGAACAATACTTGATTCCCAAATTATAATAAGCTAAATGAAAATTTATCGAAAATGTTATATAATCTGTTATAGAAAATGTTTTTATTGTATTGACATATTTTCGTAAAGTAAATTCCAATGAAATGAGTGACAGCAAATACACGATCAAAAATGCGGTAAAAATATATTACTTTCATTTTTTAAAATTATTATTGGTGCATTATTTTTTCAGGCATAAACACTCAAGACTTCAATCGTGCAATTACAGGCAAACAAATAAGCTAGGTCAATAAGTTAAATTTTTTGTAAGCAGATTTTTTTATTACTTCTACCCGATAATTCGAACTTAAAATATTGATTAGTTTAGTAGTTTTAAAAATTTTTAGCAATTAATGCAGGACAATTAATTGAAAAATGCTATAGAACAATTAAGTTTGTATATTTAGATGGGATTTCTTTTTTTCACTGTCAGCAAACATTCACCCATTTCTTCCTAGATAATACAATATTCTTAATGTAGAAAGTCTAAATCTACGTTAGATAATTGCTCCATGAATAAAAAATGCTAGTCGGCTAATATTATTTTTATTTTTAACCTATGTGTGAAAAAATTAAAGTTCTGTTTTGTCAGCACCAAAAACATTGAATAAAAAAAAAATTTTTTATCTTATAAATATTTTCAAATTGAAGAGATTCATTGGGCAATTCATAAATTTAAAATAAACTTTGATCATTCGATTCAAAATATTGAATGAGTATTAGAAACTTAATCAAAATAAAGACAATCTTAGCCAAAGAGAAACTATTTCATTAGCTGGGGGGGGGGGAATAAAAAAAGGTGAGTTTCGAAACCACTATTAATTACATTTCTTAATAACTATACTTCTCAGCAAAATTCTTATTTCCTACATTCGAAACATTATATTTGTAAGAAATTACTACATGTAATTCTGACAGGTGCAAAAAATATGCAGTTATAATAGTACTATATATCACTTTAAGGATATAAAAAAAGGCAATGATGCGCATTCAGCGAACAGTCTGTTAACAAGAGAGTGTGGAATGAAGAGCGCGTCTAGAGCAGAACAACGTAGAGTAGGGCAACTTTTAGCGATAGAAGGTAATAGCGCTCCTCGTACTGTGCATTTCACTAATCATTTTACGCTGAATACATTGGGTGTTAGCTTGTTTTGAAACACCCGATATTAATGTACGATGTTCATGAAAACACCATTTGTTAAAGGCAGTGTTCCCCATAACCAGCGCTGAATGTCTCATCTTCTTCCTCTAATACATACTTTGCGTTGTTTTGCTCTGAACATATCCATGATTTTATATTTACTTTAAGTGCTCTCATGACATTTGGTTAACGAACGCACCTTCTTCATTTCTACTCTAATTCTTGCATTTAAGCAAACATCCTATTTATTTATCATTTTTATCATCATTTAAGGGAGACAGTGGAGGACCTTTATCGTGCAAACTCGGAGATCGCTGGTACGTGATGGGTGCGACAAGTTACGGCACTTTAACCAATTTGCAAACTGGTTTGTGCGCAATGCCGGAACAGCAGACAATTTTCATGAAGGTTTCAGACAAAGTAGACTGGATAGAGAAAACTATTAATCTATATAGTTGATTGCACTGTTGTCATTCAAAATAAAAGAAAATTTTGTGAGCCTCAGTGTGTGTCTTTTAATTCACAAAACCTTGAATAATTGGAGTAATTTTTATCTCCGATCCTAAAACACAGTTTAATTTGTCCGTTCAAGTGTAACTATTAAATTTAGCATTCTTGTATAGCGTAAATTATTCGGTCCCGATTATTATAAGCACCACCTATTAACTCACTCCACACAAACTCAGTCGCCTTTTTCTCAATACTTTCAAGAAAATAATTTTGTTTACCTATTACATAAAAATCACTTATATTTATCATTTATGTATTTTAACGTAAAAAATGTCGGAAATATATTAATCGAAACGAAATGAATGATTACTTGGATTTGAAAAATATTCACCAGTACTTGAAAAAAAAAGTTTAACTTGGGAATTCAAAATGGCGAAGTAAGGTTAAAAGTAATTAACAGTAAGTAGTTGAAACCTTATATCGTATAGCAGTTTAAATTGGAAACGGTTTTTATCTCTCTGGTAACATCCAATCTCTTTCTCTTAGTTTCTTAGTTATATTTATTATATTTCTGTTATTTGTGACATCAAGTCGTGCGCGAACTTTTAAAATAAAAATATTGAGAGAAATAAATTGAACTTTCTAAAACAGAAGATAAAAAATCATTATTTAAATTTAAATAAAAGTTTTGAAATATTAAAGAAGCACTTGAAATTGATATAACTTTCGACCAAGTAGGAATTTAAAAGAAAAGATTCCTGCTAAGTTCGTAAATTAAAGTAACTCTTTCGTCACATCAAGTTTCAGCTCTGTAGCTTTATTTCAGCAGGCAAAACAAAAAAGAAATCAGAAAACAAAGTATTTTTTAAAACAAGTTAAGCAATTGATAATTCTCGAACTATTAACTAAATATTAATATTTTCAGTCAATTGTAGACCTTGAACACACCCACGTAATTTCAAATTTCTCCTAGTTTTTTCGTCGCAAGACAAATTATAATGGAACACCAAAACAGCGGAGGTGACAATTTATTAATATAGATCAATATTTTGGAATTTGTGAATCAATTTCCAGTGTGCTCCTTTCCTCTAATAACTTGATAGTCACATAAAGTGTGACATTGTGTAGAAAAGTAAGGGGTGAAACCAGGTCTTGAGCGTCGAGAGTTGATGGCAGAATTCTTATAGCACACCATTGTGTCTTTCCATCTCCCTTCTCACGGCTTCAAGAGAATTTGTTTTGGACAATCTAGTGAAGCATAAACAAGTTCACAGAATACAGTGGTTCCGAAATTATTAAGTCGAGAAAATCTTCTCAGGAATATTTTAATAAAAAGGCGTGTTATTTGCTCCAGTATTTAGGCCAGGCTCGTACTGGGATCTAAAATCGGCCCGTGCATTTTAGAGATATCGGCCCCCTACTTCACATAAACACCGCGTGCGCGGCTCCTAATATATCATTTTTAGGCATTTTTTATTTATAAATTCTCATGATCGTAAGTTAATTTATCGAAGTAAGAAAGTAGATAAAAATTGCTTAGTAATCCTTTATAGAATATATTTCAGTTTAAAATACCTGGCTCTTATGAGGAAACATAGGCTGATAAAATCAAAAATAAGGTGAAAGATGAAGAGTAAATAAAAAATATTTATTATACTACACATACATGAATGATTTATGTAAACATTTTTTTAAAAATAGATTTGATGCTTCTTCGAAAATCATTAAATTAAAATTTAATTTAATAACTTTTGAAGAAGCTGACTATTTTCTGCCACTTTATCGATTATGTCATCGATATCTAATTTCATTAATAGATATTTTTCTACTGCCATTACCATGAGAGCATTCAAATTATCCGAAGATAAAGTACTCATTCGATTTTTAATTACTTTTAATGTGGACAATGATCTTTCACAAGCCACCTGACTTATTGACAATGTTAGTAAAAATTTTAATGCTAGGCCAATTAAATTGTAAGAATTGGTCAAATTGAATCTCTATAATATCTTGTAGCAACAAATAACACAACTTTTGCACGCACTGCTTGTTTCACATTTTAGACTTACTTCTTCTTCGGTTTCCAAAGTAAAGTCGTTATTATCTTCGTTTGAATGATCTTCTCTGATTATTTTATAATCCTCTAAGTCTGAATTTTTCAATTTTTCCCAATGTAAAGCTAAATTTCTTAGTTCAATCCGCAAATTTTCACCTATAGCTGTTTCGTCAAATCTTAGCAAGAGTTTGTTAACTCATTTAGTTCGCCAGATTGAGGCTTGTTGAAACGTATTTTAGGGAAACGTTTTGGATCTAGGTAGGAAAAATCGGCGTACAATTTTCCATTTGCGGGAAAGCGTTCCATTGACGCTACAACTGTGCTGAAAATAATGTTGTAGAGGCTGTTGGTTGCGCCAGCTCAGATAGCATGAAAAGCCGAGGTAGAAGGATCGAGGATTGGATCGAAGATCGAAGGTAGGAGGACGAACCGAAATAGTTACTGCGCGGATGAATACCGTCGGAGAAGCATCAACCGGCGGCCAAGGCAGGGAGTGAAAAGGCTGATGTCCAGTACTTAAACAGATGACTGTTTGCCTTCAAAAGGGTTGTTGTGCAGCGTCCGAGAACCTCGTACCAATATTCCATTTCTACCCGGTGACGCCCACCTGCAGTATGAGATATTTACAACCAAAAGTTTAAGTTTTTAATTGTTGTTTTAATAACAACTTTTAAATGTTTTTAATGAATAACCTGTTAATTGGAGTTTGTGAAGTTTCTTGGTGGGTTGTTATCTTTTACTATTAAAGATGATGTTTCATTGCCATATTGTTTCATTTGACGTCTTACATTCCCATCTCCGAAACATATACAATTGGTGACCTGTGAATGAATACGTATATTTCTGTTTCTGCAAACTGCTTTTGAGAAATTTTACTGGTAGATGAATTACGGAGAAATGCTGGCACGTTTCAAGTTTTAAAGTTTTTTGGCAAGCCGTGAGTAACAATTTACTTCTATTGTTGGACTTATACATTTCGGATTAATGCAAAAAATGCCCGAATCTACGGAAACTGCTGATCAACAAATTGCTCGTGTCACTGTAAAGCCGCCACCTTTTTTGAGAGCTAATCCCGAATTGTGGTTCAGACAAATTGAAAGTCAGTTCACTCTTGCTGGAGTAACTGTAGGAACATCATATGTCACATGTCTATTCATATTATTTTTATGAGAGTTGCGAATGGCAACAGATCAAAAAATAATAATAAAAAATGAGTGTTCTAAAAAATGTCTGCTGATCATTTATCCTGTATTCCTGTTGCGTACAACTGGTGACCCGGATTTTTGACATGACTACAAAAAACAGTGAAAAGATCGAAGCAACGATCGTCATGGACGCCGAAGCTAATAAAGTAAGCATTAAAATTCCACCTTTTTGGAGAGAGAAACCCGACATTTGGTTTTACCAAGTAGAAGCACAGTTTCGAATAAATAAGATCACAACTGAAGAAACCAAATTTAATTATTTGATATCCCAACTGGAACCGAAGTATGTAGAAAATATTTGGGACATTATTAAAGACGCTAAGCCTAACAAATATACCTTGGCGAAAGAAAGACTTTTAAATACGTTTAAGGAAAGCGAAAACAAGAGAATTCAGCGCTTAGTTACAGGTTTAGAACTTGGAGATTACAAGCCAAGCCAGCTTTTGCAAAAAATGAAAAATTTAGGAGCATACGATTTTTCAGAAAAAGTGTTAAAATCTTTATGGCTTGATAAAATGCCGAATTTTATACGAAATATTCTGCTTGTCAGTGAAGAAAGTTTAGATAAACTGTCTACGATGGCGGATAAAATTCACGAAATGAAAACTGGGGAAGAAATATGTACTGTTTCACCAAGTGTTACCTACAATGATGCTTTAATTGCACGAATAGCAGCATTAGAACAGAAAATTGATTCACTGCAAATAAATGACCGTAGTAGATCTAAATTTAGAAATAATTACCGAAATACATCTCGAAGTCGCAGTCATTCAATAAAAGCATTCAATAGGAAAGGTAAATATTGTTACTACCATTTTAAATTTGGTTCAAAATGTTTACCTGGTAAATGTCGCCAACCATGTTCTTATGATTCTGATGCTGAAAACAGGGAAAAGCAGTAGACTTGGCGGCAGATTCTGCTGCTGAGGAAATAAATGATTGCCGTAAATTTCGATTGTGTGTTCGAGATAGGAATACTGGAATAAACTTCCTTATCGACAGTGGAGCCGATGTCAGTTTATTACCATTACCCGCCAATAAAAGTTATCAAAGTGCAAGCGATTATAAACTATATGCAGCAAATGGATCCGAGATTACAACCTATGGAATCAAAATATTAACTATTGATTTAGGACTTCGCCGCTCATTTAATTTCCCATTTATTATCTCCAAAATTAATAAAGGAATAATAGGGGCCGATTTCCTTAATAAGTTTAATTTATTAATTGACATTAAAGAAAGAAGATTAATTGATGGAGTAACCAATTTAATAGTTAAAGGAGAAATTTCTCCAATATGCATGACGGAAACAATTTCCACTATGGATAAAAATTCTAAGTTTTCTGAATTATTCTCTTCATATCCAAATTTAACTAAACCAAACTTATTAATTAGTGATGCTAAACATGAAATTCGACATTTTATCGCCACAACGGGAAAACCTGTGTTTTCTAAGGCACGACAATTAGATCCAAAAAAATTGAAAATAGCCAAAGAAGAATTTAAATTCATGCTAGACAACGGGATTATTAGACCTTCAAAATCGCCCTGGGCAAGTCCCTTACGTATGGTTAAAAAGAAGGATGGGTCTTACAGACCATGTGGAGATTATAGAAGACTAAACGACCAAACAATACCAGACCGATATCCAATACTAAGAATCGAAGATTTCCATCATATTTTAAAAGACACCAAAGTATTTTCTAAATTCGATTTATTTAAAGCTTATTATCAACTTCCTATAAATGAAGAGGACAAACAAAAAACTGCACTAATTACCCCTTTCGGAATTC